CAAGTATACTTTACCCAGCAAAGCTATCATTCAGAATTGAAGGTCAGATAAAGAGCTTCACAGATAAGGAATAGCTAAAGGAGTTCATCACCACCAAACCAGTATTATATGAAATGCTGAAAGGTATTCTTTAAGACGAGGAAGAAGAAGAAAAAGGTAAAGATACAAATTATGAACAACAAATACATATCTATCAACAGGTGAATCTAAAAATCAAGTGAATAAATAATCTGATGAACAGAATAAACTGGTGATTATAATAGAATCAGGGGCATAGAAAGGGACTTAACAGAGTATTCTCGGGGGGAAAGGTGTGTGGGGGGTGCAGGAAGAGACTGGACAAAAATCGTACACCTATGGATGAGGACAGTTGGGGGGGGAGTAAGGGCAGAGGGTGGGGTGGGAACTTGGTGAAGGGAAGCTATGAGGGGGAGAGGAACAACTGTAATAATCTGAACAATAAAGATTTAAAAAGTGAAAAAAATATTTTTCTTTCATATTTCAACATTTTTCTCTTTTTTTTTCATATCTCTTATATCTCTTTTCTTTTCTTATTATACTTTTTCTCTTTATCTTTTCTTTTTTTATATTTTTTCCATGCTTTCCTATTCTATATTTTATTCATTATTATTACTTTGCAAAATTATTATTATTTCATTTATTATTTTTTCGTTTCTTTTTTATATTTATTCTTTTCTCTTCTTTTCTTTCATCTTCTTTTGGGTTTTTTGTTATTGTTCCTTTTTTTTTCTTTTGGTCTCCTTTTTTTCTTTTGTTTCTAATTCTTGTGGTATCTTGTTCTTTAGAATTCTTTTTTCCTTATAATTTTTTTGTTGTTCTTTTGGGTGTTGTTGTTGGTTTGGTTGTTTTCATTTTGTTTTAGGTTTATTTTGTTTTGTCTAGTTTTGTTCTATCAGCACCAGTATAATAGTGGCATGATGTGTTCGGGGTTCAGTCTCAAAGTCAGCCACCCACAAATGGAACAGTAGCCATCAAGACACAATTGCAGCAACTAAGGCCCACATAATTGACAAAAGAGACATTCCTAGAGCACTCAGCTCAAATCAAGGAGACTACATCCCTGGGTCTTACAAGACACACAATATAAAAGGCCACCCCACCAAATCTGAGAGTCATATCATCCTATCCAATACACAGAAACGAACACAAAGAAATAGCACAAATTTGGAAACAAAGAAACAGGCCTTAAATGAAATAGCAGGAGGAATCTCCAAAAAGAGTTAAATAAAATAAAGGAAAGCAATTGATCAGAAACAGAGTATGAAGTAATGATTTTTAGAATGCTCAACAGCATGAAAAAAGACAAAACCATGAAAAACAAACAGTTGAAAAAGAATGACATATCTGAAATAAAGAATGCACTGGAGCCCGGACTGGTTTGGCTCAGTGGGATAGAGCGTCGGCCTGTGGACTGAAAGGTCCCAGGTTTGGTTCCAGTCAAAGGCATGTACTTGGTTGTGGGCACATTTCCAGTGGGGGGTGTGCAGGAGGCAGCTGATTGATGTTTCTCTCTCATCGATGTTTCTAACTCTCTATTCCTCTCCCTTCCTTTCTGTAAAAAGAATCAATAAAACATTTTTTTTAAAAAAAGAATACACTGGAAAGAATAAACAGTAGATTAGCAGAAGCAGAGGATCAAATCAGTGGATTAGAAAACAAAAAGAAAAAAATCATTCAATCAGAGCAATATAAGAAAAAATAACAAAAAATCATGAGGATATTTCAAGGGAACTTTGGGACAACACGAAACACAACAAAATCTGCATCATAAGCATGGCAGAGGGAGAAGAAAGTGAGTAAAGAAAAGATAACCTGTTTGAGGGAAAAATGACAGAAAACTTCCCTAAACTGGTGAGAGAAAAACGCACACAAGTTCAGGAAGCTCAGAAAGTCCCAATCAAGATGAACCTAAAGAAACCCACACCAAGATACATCATAATTAAAATGGCCAATGTTAAAGACAAAGAGAACCATAAGGGTAGCAAGAGAGAGGCAGTCACTTCCCTACAAGGGAGCTCCAGTAAGGCTGTCAGCTGATCTCTCAACAGAAACACTATAGGCTGAAGGGAATGGCATGAAGTATTCAAATGAAACCAGGACTATTCTATCCAGCAAGGCTATAATTGAAAATAAAAGGTAAAATAAAGAGTTCCCCAGACAAAAAAAAAGGGTAAATCAGTTTATTACCACCAAACCAGCATTGCAAGACATGCAAGAAGAAAAAGAAAAAATAGAAAGAGAAATATAAGCATAAAGAATAAAAATGGCAATAAATAAGTATCTATCAATAATGACCTTAAATATTAATGAATTAAATGCTCCAATCAAAAGACATAAGGTAGCTAAATGGATAAGAAAACATGACCCATATGTATACTGTCCTACAAGAAACCCACCCCAGAACCAAACACTCACATAGGATGAACGTGAAGGACTGGATAAAAGTTTTTGATGAAAATAGGAATGAAGGGGGGAAAAGCTACAGTAGTAATACCTATATTTGATAAAATAGTCTTCAACACAAAGGACATAAAAAGAGGCAAAGAGAGAAACCAAGATGGCGGCATAGGTTAATGCCGGAGTTTGCTGCCTCGAACAACCACTTCAAAAATAAAACTAAAAGATGGAACGGACATCATCCAGAACCACAGGAAGGCTGGCTGAGTGGAAATTCTACAACTAGGAGGAAAGAGAATATCATACCCAG